TCTGTGGAGTCATACAATTAAAGATTTGTAAGCCACATTCTAAATTATTTAAGTTATTATAACTGCTAGAGATTACCTCTATTGTCTCATTTTCTAATTTAAATTACTTGGAACTGATTCCAAATTGCATGTTAAGTCATTACACTGCTCAAAAGAAGCAGATGTCTGTGTAGCCAAGTCCTTGGCTGAGTTAATATATAAATAATAAGATAGCACATTTGCTATCTGTCTTAAATTATATTTTGATAGGTAATACCTATCTCTAGTCAAAAATTTCTTAATTAAATTATTTATATCTATTAAATTAATTCTATCATTATAATTGTAACAATTAAATGTCAAGTTTAAATTATTATTACATGAAAAGTTATTCATTAATAAATTTAAATCATATCTTATTTTATTTTCCTGCGGCCAACCCTGTATGTAAGGCAATGTAAACAAGATAATTTTATGTACATTTAAAGTATTTAGATTATCAATATATTTTAATAATTGATTTTTGTTTACATTGCCTCTTCTCCCAACAAGAATAATTAATGTGCTATTAGGACAAAATTTACTAGCTAAAACTTTATTCATTATATGACTAAAGGATGCTCCAGGCATGCAATAATTAGTGATCATATGTCCTTTTAAACAGTTATTTAACATCATGCCCAAATTTTTGCCTATGTCATCACAATACATAATAACTTTATTTTTTTTAATATTTACATTACTTTTTAAGTTTATATCCTTTGTCATAGCACTGTCATAGAGTGTAGATGAAAATAATGAGGTCTTACTGTTAACTTTGTTATTTACACATATTGTCCCCGATGAACCTGGTATGGAGCGCTGATACTCACTCTGATTTTTTATTAAGGAGTCAAAGCGCTCCTCATTATATTTACATGATTTTACCAGATCATTCATGGCCAATATGTGTTCTTTTATCTCATCTTGAGCCGATGCATATTTATTTGATACAATTTCTAGAGAGCTTTTAAGTGATAAAATTGTTGAATGTAGACACTCTATATCAGTCTCATAACAGTGATTCATATTTTCCACCTCAATTGAATATATTTTAAGTTTATTAATTAGTTCTTGCTTTTCTTTGCATACATTTATATAATTTTTAACATTAATTTTAGTTTTAATTAATTTTTGTAGTTTTCTAATATATTTATTAATTTTTATATATTTCTTTAATTTTCTTCTACTGCAGGTAGTTCTTGCTGCTGTTCTTGACATGACATAATCATCACCAGTCAAATCGATTGTTGTGGAGGGTTGCAATGCTTTAGATTTAGTAGATTCACACTCTATGAGCTCGTTGAACAGACTTTGAGTTTGGGACGCTTTCATGTTATCTATGTAATGTTTTAATAAAACAATCTGCTCATTAGCCTCACTTAACTGTAACTGCAATGCAGCAATTAATTTGAGGGATTCCTCATATTCCTTGCTGCATTGGTCAAACTCATCGACTGTTCTCTGAAGTTGATCCCTTTCTTTTGTAACAAATGTATATTCTTTATGCAACTTAACCATGTCACTTTTTAGTTTAGTATTTTTAGCAATTATATTTATTATTTCCTTTTCATTGTCATCCCTTTCTTTAATTAATAGCTCACACTGCTCCTTTGACGCCTTAAGTTCTTGAAGCGCCATTTGAAGTTGGTTCTCCAATTGGCGCGTTTTGGCGTTGCGTGTATTCATTTTACTATTAAATGTAAATAGCAAAAGAAAACAAAGAAAGAAAACCAAAGAAGCAGAGTAAGCAAATGTCGAGATGTATGGGCGTATTTACAGATCTCAAATTAAATTATCATGTAAATAATTCAAAATGAAATCCACAACAACACTTAATAGGTAAATCTTAAAATGTTAAAGGGATAACAAGAAATTACACTTACAATACGTTTAAACGATGTTCGTTACAGCTGTTACTTTTGGTTGAAACAGTAAACACAATGTATGTAATTAAAATAGGTACTTCTGACTTTTACTTATATCACAAACACAAATAAGTCGTATTTAACAACTGTAACTCAAAATTGAGGTGGATATTATTAATTTACAATATTTAATATTTTAAAATAGTTGGGAGCAATTATTTTACAACTTGTCACCGGGGTTGCCACAGAAAAAAAAAAGGCACAATTGCAACTTAGTAATTCGGGAGCGCATGGGCTCGACCGAAGAATACGTCCGCGCGGCTTGAGCGCAGACAACCGAATCCCTGCCCGCTCTGTTGCTGCGCGTTCTTTTTATACCCGTTGCAAAACAAGTCGAGTAGTGGGGCGGTGGGAGAAATCGTGTGGCGCGCCGGGTGCACGTTTTGTTTACAGTTACCAGCTGTGCCAGCGCACGACGACGCTGTCGTTATGCCGTCATATATTTGACACGAGAGAAATGCGTTCTGAGATAATCTGAAATAGAAGATGTAAGACAGACTCGTTACGGGTTATAGAAAATGTCATTCTATTTTATACCCAGACGATAATAATTTTCATAAGGAGCGCGAATAAAATCGAATTAACTCGCAGTAATGGAAATTTTAATATGCTGACGAACTATATAAATGAAATTAGTTAATTTTCACAAAGTACCTACTTAATTTATTTTATAACTCATTATGAATTATTACAATAAAATTTCTTTAAATATTATGCATGCATGCAATGCGTTTTTATTTTACTTATTATAAAATATTATATTGTAATAATTTTTTTTTCACAATATCAATCTATAGCATTAACATTTTAACGTTATTCCAGGTATATGGCCACCGCGCATGTACTTCGGCGAACTGCGAATAATAGCCAATATTGGTCGGTTTCTAGGTGTGAATTATTGTAAGTTTATCAGAATAAGCCAGTACTTTATGTAGATTAGGGAATAGTCGCATGCAGACAAACAAATATGCACGTACATGCAAACACACATGCACGCACACACACGCACGCACAAACACGCATACACACACACGCACGCATACACACGTACGCACACACACGCACGCACACACACACGCACGTACATATACATATGTTTTCAAGCTAGTGGACTGCAAAGGACACTTACGGTATTAATGTCAATGGCGAGCAAATTACTCACCTTCGATTTATAAATGATATAGCCATTATGGCAGAATCGCTGGAGGGTCTAAGCACTATGCTCGATGATCTCATTATAGTGCCTCCCAACGGATAGGTATTCAAATGAACATAGACAAAACAAAGACCATGTATAGCGTACATGTCACGCCTATTCCGGTAGTTGTTGGGAGCACTAAGCTCGAAGTTGTTGAGGGGTATGTTTACGTTGGACAAATAGTCCGACTAGGTAGTCCAACATCGACTGAGAAATAGAATATTTTTATTTAATATATTTTATAAGTAATTATTATTGAAAATTTTTTTTTTTACTTTTATAAGTGGTTCGAAAAAATACCTCTGTCCTGGAAAGAACTAACAAGGAACTCAGCAGGACTTATACAATAAGACCACAGGCTGAAAAAACAACTTCTAAACTTATTTAAGAAAAACCTTGGACACGTTGAACTCATTCCCAGGGGTTATTGTTATCTACCATATATTCATTTATATTATAATAAAAATATTTATACGGTTCTGTTTATATATATATAAAAACATATATTTCAACTAGGTTTTGTATATGCATATAATTTAAACTAGGTGTTAGAGATACAGACCTTGTATATTTTCTAGGACTTTGTTGTAAAAGCGTATACATTGTCCCATGAATTAATTACTGACTGTGGAATCGAGAAATTGGTACCTATGCATATGAATTATAATTCATAAGCAGCAGTTCCTTGAGATTGGATCAAAGGGTATTTGATCCAATCTCAAGGAACTGCTGCTAATTGCGATTTCACCATATGTAAAGCACAGACAAGGGTTAACATCGTGGGGAAACCTGCACGTCTGGAGTATCAAAATATTTCGAAGACATGTGAAATCCGCCCGTACGCACTAAAATAGCGCAGCGGACTTATATTTTCACCACCCTCTCAGAAATAAGAGGAGGCTTACATACGTCACAGCTTACATAATCAGTCGCGGATACAGTACTTTAGGGAACATCACCGCACGTACACCTCACGGATATAGGATTTAACTTTACCTTACCTAAAAAGCTAAACATAAATCATTACCTTACTTTAAACCTTTTACCCATTTGTTAACAGTTAGAATAGAAATTGCGCGGATTGAACGCCGTTTTTGTAGTAATCGCGACACTTCTACTTGAAATAAAAATAAATAGAATTGCTACTGAATTTACCAACAGTGAGAGAAAATTAGTCTGGCCCACCAGGAAGGGTGAATGAAATAGGTAAACTCACGGTTAGCGGCAGCGGCGATCAACTTCAACTTGGCTTCAACAATATCTTCGGATGAGGAAGGTTTCAGTCTTCCTTGACCACACTCCTACGTGATTATATAGTCTATGCACACAGCTGGGTCGACCCGGCACACTCACTAACTCTTAATTACATTGATTTTAATTTGGAAGGTTTAGACAAGAACAGCCATTACCGATGCAGTTCGTCTTGAGTCTTGATTACATGTGTGTATCGATCGCGTCGACTTCTCTTGCAGACGCTTTTGTTGTAGGCCAACAGATGGCGCCATATGTTTTGTTTTGCATATAATTGGAAGGAAGGATGCGATAGAAAAGTAAGGAAGGCAAGCCAGTACATAATTCCCCCCACTTGAAATCGTTTCAGATTTCATGAGTAATAATAGCAGTTCTCCCTATAAAACTAAATACTTCACGAACTAGAAACTAACTTAGAATAATATCTACCTAACTATAATATTAATACTTGAATTTGAGTTGCATACCTATTAGAAAGGTATGTAAGGCAACAAAATTTAATATCCAACTATACCTGTAAGCTAAATAACAAAAAACTATAATATTAATTTTAAAAGAAAATTGACTTTTTTTTTCATTTTTTTTTTCATAAGTGTAGCTATATATTATTGATTTAAAGGTAGAGGACACAGTTTATTTACCGGTCTCTTAAGGAGTCCATTAGTAGTGCGTAGGGTGACCACGCGCACTACACCGTCTTTGCCGGGATGCACGTCTTGAACTCTACCTGAACGCCACTCTAGTGGTGGTAAATTGCTATCGACAATTAGTACAATATCTCCGACATGAATATTTGGTTGTTCTCGAAACCATTTCGCGCGTTGCTGCAAGGTATGGAGATAATCGCGTTGCCAAATATGCCAAATATGCCAAAAAGACTGTGTAAGTTTTTGCAACATCTGCCAGCGGGCCCGAGGTGGAACATATTCATTAGAAAGTTCAGGTTCTGGTAACGATATAAGAGAACCATGGACCAAAAAATGACCAGGTGTAAGAATATCGACCAGCACAACGGTCGCGAGTTAAGTATGGCTTCGATTTTAGTAAGAATTGTTATGAGCTCCTCGAATGTCAATACTTGTAACCCTATAACGCGTTTTAAGTGAAACTTCATTTATTTTACACCGCTCTCAAATATGCCACCAAAATTACTCCCGGTAGGAGGGTTCAGTCGCCAGATAATGTTTCGTTTCGCAAGACTAGACTCAAGTGAATCCTTATTCTTAGAAATCATTTGCTGTAGTTCGTTAAGGTAACGGCGGGCACCAATAAAGTTAGTACCGCAGTCGGTGACTATGAAGGTACAAAGGCCACGACGTGATACGAAGCGATCTAACGCTGCAAGAAAAGCAGAAGTCGATAGCTCGGTTACTGCCTCAAGATGGATAGCCTTTACCGCGAGGCAAACGAATACACACACGTAGGCCTTGTAAGTACGAGCGTTTCGTCTACGACTTTCCTTCACCATGAATGGACCGGCAAAGTCGATTCCCACATTTTGGAAACACCGCGTCGGTTGTACTCTTGGTGAAGGAAGATTTCCCATTAAAGGCTGACAAACAACCGGTTTTACCTTAAAAAATGCTATGCATTTAGATAAACGCGACCGAATTAAGTTACGGATGCCAAGTATCCAATATCTACGCTGAATAATCGATTGAAGAGTACGAGGACCACAGTGTAAGTAATTGACATGAAAGTGATCTATGATCAACAATGATAAGCGTGAAGCCTTTGGTAACAATACGGGATGTTTTACAGTTGCCGGTAGATTAGCGTGCTTTAGACGGCCCCCCACTCGCAGCAATCCCGCATCATCAATAAATGGACTCAGTTTTTTAACGGATTTTGTGGCTTTGACTTCATCTGTAAGATGAAGTTTGTGTTCATGTCGAACCATATAGACGATAGACTGCTCCAGCTCTGATACGCTCAGGAAATTCTTAGTTTTAGAGCTTCGTTTGAATGCTGCTACAGCACGCAGACACCAAGCTAGCACACGCTGGACGCGGTATAGCGTGGAGTAACGGTCCAACAGTCCACCAATAAAGTCCAACTCAGCAGAGCTAGTATCCGTTTGAGATACATAAGCAGTAGAGCGCAACTCGGGTACGGAATCTTGTGCTTCCCACTTGCACTTTACTGGCCAAGTGGAGGAATCGTTAGCGAGCCAATTTGGACCTGACCACCACGTACAACATGTCGCTAGCTGTGAACCGCTAAGACCTCGACTGCAATGATCGGCAGGATTATCATATGTTGATACGTGTTGCCAGCTATCAACTGATACATCGTCGATGATTTTCGCAACGCGATGGGAAACAAAAGTCTTCAGTTTATGAGGTTCCGTGTGCAACCATGCTAGAACCGTGTTACTATCAGTAAAGGCAATCACTTTACTGAGGGGGATTTTATCTCGCAGCAAATTTTGCATGTGCTTAAGAACTCGCCCTAGAAGGACAGCACCGCAAAGCTCTAGACGGTTAACCGTTAGTGGTTTTAGGGGTGCAACTTTTGATTTTGCAATCAACAGATGCGTGTTAAAATGGTTGGCACGAACTGTCCTCAAGTATACACAACATCCATATGCCTTTGAAGAGCCATCACAAAACCCAATCAATTGGTAACTCTTGGCGTCATCATGTGTAACTCTACGAGTCAGTTTAATCTGTTTAACATGTTGCATTTCAGAGATAAAGTTGTGCCATTGGTGAGCGACCTCAGGTGGAACGGGTTTGTCCCAACTTAGCTGAAGGCGCCACATGTCTTGAAGCAATAGTTTGGCTATTAGAAAAACAGGAGTGAGCCAACCAATTGGGTCATAGATGCGAGCGATATTTGATAATATTGCACGCTTTGTTAAATTGTAATTGAACCCGGACACTGAATATTTAAAGAAGTCTTCTACGGGGTCCCACTGTATACCAAGAATTTTAAGGATATGGTTGTGATTTTCGTCACAAAAGACCCTAGGTACTCGACAATGTTCAGACAGTAGAGCTGCAATAAACTCGGCTGAATTACTACACCATTTACGCAGCTCAAATTGCGCACAGCCCAGTAGTTTAATAAGTTCATCTTTGAGCTCAAGTGCCTGTTTAAGAGATGGCGCTCCGGTTGTTATGTCGTCCATAAAAGTATCATGACGTATAACGTGAGCCGCTTGAGGATACTCAGAAGCATGATCGACCGCTAATTGATGCAGAGTACGAATGGCTAAGTATGGTGAACTAGTCACACCGTATGTCACGGTATTTAATTCGAACTCACGCACGGGATCAGCTGGAGAGTTTCTCCACAACACGTGTTGCCACCCTCGATCTTCCTGACGTAAATCTATATTGCGATACATTTTCGAAATATCGGATGTGAACACTATTGCGTGAAGACGAAATTTTGTCAGCACATCAACAATGTCATTTTGATGCTTAGGCCCAGTGTACACGATATCATTTAAAGATTTTCCGTTCGTCGTTCTGGCACTTGCATCAAAAACGACACGTAGTTTTGTCGTAGTACTCTCAGGGCGAAGTACACAATGATGCGAAATTACAAATTTGCCTGATCCAACGTCTGCGGGTTGCATATGGCCCAGATCGGAATATTCAGTCATAAAATCAGAATAGTCCCTTTTTAACTCTACATTGCGCTCAAGTCGCTTTTCGAGTTTGAATAAGCGTGATTTTGCCATCTCGAAAGATTTACCCAGATCATCACAAGGCTTCTTCAGTAACAAAGGAACGACGTAACGACCGTCAGGTTTACGTGACACAAGAGTAGAGTAGAGTTCTTCGCATTTAACGTCTTCGGGGTTCGATATAAATGTTTTCGGTGGTTCTTCGACCTCCCAAAAACGCTTGACCACGTCATTCAAAAGCCGGGTGGAAGTAACGAGGGAAGAAACCATAGGTGGAGGGTAACAGCTGTGATCAATTTTGCCAGTGAGCACCCACCCAAAGACACTATGTAGAGCGACTGGTAAACCAGGACCTATCTCTAGGCGTTGGCCATCATAAATTTTATGGAATAGCTCTGCGCCCAGCAGCATGTCTATATTAGTGGGTTTGTCGAACTGTTTGTCTGCTAAAACGAGATGTTTAAAATTTTCACGAACCTCAGAAGGTACTTCTACAACAGGCATTTTACTTGTTATTGTATTCATTATTATGGCATTAATAGTGAAGTTTGGACTATCAGAATCCGTTGGCATTACCACGCATGAAGTTTCACCCTTTATTTGATGCACTACATTTTGTCCTAAACCTGCCACAGCTAAATTGTAGCGGCGAATGGGCAACCCTAAACGTTGAGCGAGTGATAACGTCATAAAACTATCCTGAGCTCCACTGTCAATAAGTGCGCGGGCGGTAGTATACTGAGCGGCAGCACCGCAACCACGCACGCGCACTACACATGTGCCGAGCAAAACGAGAGCACGACTATGACCAACGTGAGCGCTGGTAGTCACGGAGCTCGCTGTCGAGGTCAAGTCGTCAACCGTAACTACTGTTTTGTCGCTAGTCTTGTCAGTGGAGCAACACGGAACAGCAGCAATGGTAGTGTTATCGTGGAGCAACGAATGATGACGCTCACCACAAGTTGAGCATGTAATTTTTGAAAAACATTTTTTTGTATTATGATTTAAACGTAAGCAATTCATGCAAACATTTTTATTAGACACTAAGCCGTATCTTTCAGAAATATCAAGTTCTTGAAACTTCGGACATTTGAAAAGCGCATGTGCCGCCCCGCAACATAGACAATCAGCTGTTTTATTTGAAGCATTTGAAGCTATGGCAGTGTTCGACGGCAACGATATAGATTTATGGTATTGTTTATTATTGTGACTATTTCGTGTCCCGGTGGCACGTACATTATTTTTATACAACTGTCCCGATTGAAATCCAGACCCGGAACAATTGCCCGATTGACTAACCTCTAGAACTTTAACATAACTTTGTAAAAAAATTAACAAATCAGAAAAGGTAGGAATTTGTTCCCCGTTTTGCATTTCAAAACGTTTACGTGTATCAGAATCTAAAACACGCGCAGCTAAATAAAATAAAATGAACTCATCTAATTCCTTAATTTTCATAGCTCTAAGAGCATTAACGGTTAAATTACGTAAATCGACATAATTACTGGACTTCAAAGGAATGAAGCAACAAATTTTATCTAAGTACGTTGCGGCCAAAATTCGTTTGTTTTGGAACCGCTAAATAAGTGCGTCAAAAACAATTTTGTAGTTATCTGAGGTAACAGGCACTCCTTTTGCGATTGACAACGCTGAACCCGAGAGACACGTCAACAAATAATGAAACTTTTCGATTGACCTTATATTATTGTTTTCATGTACAAGTGTGGAAAATGTATCGAAGAAAGTTTGCCAATGTTCAATGTTTCCATCAAATTTCGGCAGCTCGAGTTTCGGTAAGCGTGCTTGCGCGTATGGTTTCGTACTATAGTATGAAAATCCGGAAGTCAAACTCGGATCCGGGTTGCATTGCGGATCGGCTCGAGTGCGACCCTCGCTTAGAGCAGCCCTGGCGGCATCGACGGTGTAGTACATGTCGTCAAACGCAATCACAGGCTTCATATCAACTATATCGTCCGGCTTTAATTTTAACTTTAAATCGTTTATTTGATTGGTATACTCCAAGAATTCTTTACGCACTAACTCAATACGCTTAAACCTAGACTCGAATTGAGAGGCAGAAGTTGTATCCGTTTGGATATTCTTCGATAAATCACATAGTATTTGAATTTCTCGAAATGCATATTCCCTTTGAATAGTAAGCAACTTGAGTTGTCTCTCAATTTCACTAGCGTTCGACTTTGCCTTATCTGTCATTATGTTTGAAATTATAACCAATAAAACCGTAAATTTAAAAACAAACCTAATTTTTTAACTAAGCAATAATAACGCGAGGTGAGGTATATATTATACTACACCTATTGAAACAACGTATCAGTATTGAATATGTGGAGTATAATTATTCACCTACTACCTCCGTGTTTAAGTACAACGAACGGCACATAATGTGTAATTGTAATTTATGCAATCGACAGAGAATAATTCTCCCTAATTATAAAATTATATATCAAATAAATTTAATAAATTACTTCGTATTATCTATATCGTTAAAATTAAGGCAATTAAAGAAGTACCTTACCAAATTTTACTTGTAAAAGTTTTTTTTTTAAAGCTGAATTGCTATGAACTATTATTTTGGAGTTTTCGAATGAATTGAACCCAAAATACCATAGGAAATCCGGCTCGAAGGACCACTATGTTAACAGTTAGAATAGAAATTGCGCGGATTGAACGCCGTTTTTGTAGTAATCGCGACACTTCTACTTGAAATAAAAATAAATAGAATTGCTACTGAATTTACCAACAGTGAGAGAAAATTAGTCTGGCCCACCAGGAAGGGTGAATGAAATAGGTAAACTCACGGTTAGCGGCAGCGGCGATCAACTTCAACTTGGCTTCAACAATATCTTCGGCTGAGGAAGGTTTCAGTCTTCCTTGACCACACTCCTACGTGATTATATAGTCTATGCACACAGCTGGGTCGACCCGGCACACTCACTAACTCTTAATTACATTGATTTTAATTTGGAAGGTTTAGACAAGAACAGCCATTACCGATGCAGTTCGTCTTGAGTTTTGATTACATGTGTGTATCGATCGCGTCGACTTCTCTTGCAGACGCTTTTGTTGTAGGCCAACAGATGGCGCCATAAGTTTTGTTTTGCATATAATTGGAAGGAAGGATGCGATAGAAAAGTAAGGAAGGCAAGCCAGTACACCATTTCTTCAGTATGTAAAATATGGCTTCAGGAGTTTTGAATGGATTCGTCGCTAATATTACTACGCTAATTGTCATTCAAACAGTGAAAAGTTATAAAAAAGATGACCGATGAATTTATTTTTATACGCTCAAAGGTTATTATTAATCTTGTATTATGTAGTCTACAGTGTTTGTAACAAGAACGGAGCCGTTAGTCTTGTATTTTTTTTACAGATTACGTAACAAGAAAAAACTGATTTTACTAGTTTCTCTTTCTAGTTCTGCTTCACAAGAAACACCGTTTATAAAATAGTGTTTTAACATCGGTGCAACTTTTCAAGAAATATCAAGCGATAAAACTTTGTAAACAACTTTGAATTATAATAGCGGCGAATTCTCCGTTACATATTGTCCCTTGGGTGTCGTAAAAGGCGACAGAGGGAAACTAAAACAGGAGATGGGTATCAGGATCTTGAAAACAGCTGAAAAATAAGTGCAGTTGCGAAACACAAGTAGTAGTATAGTTGTAGCACGAATGGGTCGGCTCGACCGGGGAAGGAACACGCTCTCACAGAATATCAGCGTAAAATAGCAGCTCAACACTGCTGTGATTCGTATGGTGAGGGTAGAGAACCGGAGACCCTTTTTACTAGAAAAGAGGCATTCCACCTTAGTCTTCACGGGTGACAACGCATCTGCATTTTGATTCTTTATTGAGGATAAATGTAGATGTCTATGGGTCACAGTAACCACTTACCATCAGATGGACTGTGTGCACATTTGTCACCCTCATCTTATAAAAAAAAAACCCTTTATATAAAAAAATTATCATCCTTCTGCTTGCTTCAAACTCAAAGCCCATTTAATTCCCCAAAACCAACAGTTTTAAGTTTCCAGACTAATTAACAGTTTTTTTTACTACCTAATTGAAAATTAAGTCGAAGTTAAGGGATAAGATAAAAGGCTTTAA